TTTCGGGTCTGGGTCTCATGTGCAGGTTAAATTGAATGTTTGTAAACGCACCCACGACACAGGAGGAAAATATTAGTGTGGGGCAACGTTTTTATTAAAAAAAAAATCCCGATCCAGAGCAGCAGAAGGAACAGGGTGGCTTTCAGTCAGTAAGAATGTGACACTGCCTCTCGCCTGGCCATGTTATTTGTGGTTTCTTTCAGAAAAGCATGACTGTATATAGCCTTAATACATATTTTAAATAAATGCATACACATATTATCCTAATAAATAGGTACCTAAACAGAAACAAACAAAAAAAAATGTTTCTCGTTGTTGATGATCAAAACTTTTTCTTCATATTTGTCACGATGTCGCCAGTTGTCGCCGCCAGTACTCGGCACAACATCTTAATCATCCGAGCAATAAACCAGACATTCTGTAAGTAGTCGTCTATCTTAGATGTACTTTTTATTACAGTTGCATTTTCAACTTTAAAATAATGAGGGTAAAGTTAAAAGAGCAGGAAAAGTAATACCAACTCGTATATTAAAAGAAACATTTTGTACTTAAACTGTAATACTGGAACTAAGTAAACACGATTAGCTATACAAGATTAATTTTCTTAAATTTAATTTCTAAAAAAAAACGTTGCCCCACTTTAGGATTTTCCTGTGTTGTGGGTGCGTCTACAAACATACAATTTCACAAACACATGACACCCAGACCCGAAACAACAATATGTGGATCACACAAAGTGTTGTTCCGTGCGGGAATCGAACCCGCGACACGTTGCACGGCAGCCAGTTGCCCAGCCACCGCACCAACCGTGCAGTCAGGTCAATTAATACTGTACCTTTCAAGCTATACCAGTATATACTTAGCATGATGCAAATAAAAATATTATGTTGCGGCATTAGAAAAGAATTATCGCACCTACGTTTAATTGAAAAGAGGCCTAACTATAAATAGAAAAAATTTTAATTTAAAAGTTATGTTTCAAAAATAAGGTTAAATTTTGAATAGCTCTTTTATGAGTTTGTTCTGTTTTCTATTAACCATGCGTTATGTATATACGTTACATAGTTCACAATGAAATGATTGCCACATTCTTTGATCTGCTAATTATAGGTAATAGTTTCGTAACTAAATTAAACTTTCAATCGCGGTAATTCTAACACTTTCGAAGAACAATAGGCTCGCGAACGCTAGCGTTCGCTTGGGGTTCGATGAATAATAATACTTAACAAAAACACACAACCACAAAAATTACACTGAAAAAACCTTAACACTCCATAAGGGAGCAGACATATTGGTTCAGTATGGTCCTTGTATACCAATTGCAAGTAATTTGATCACCCTGTAGCCGGGTAGGTGGCTGGCGAATCAAGTGGATGGGGCTGCGCTAGCCAGATTGCGAATGTGATACAGTGCATACGGGTTGCAATCTGATTTAGATATGTCTGTGTAGCTTTGTAGATAGTACAGGTTTTGTTTCTATAATATTATTGTTGATGTCCTTCTGCTTCATAGAAAACGTGACTGCACGGTTGGCGCGGTGGCTGGGCAACTGGCTGCCGTGCAACGTGTCGCGGGTTCGATTCCCGCACGGAACAACTCTTTGTGTGATCCACAAATTGTTGTTCCGGGTCTGGGTGTGATGTGCATGTGGAGTTGTATGTTTGTAAACGCACCCACGACACAGGAGAAAATCCTAAAGTGTGGCAAAGTTTAAAAAAAAAAAACAAACTAGCGTGATGTAACGATTACGTCGTGTGGGTGAGATTCCCAGAGATTTCGGGTCCTCAGTTTTGATCGGATGCCGCGTATACGGTTGTATTTCTGAGTCTTTCATCGGTATTTGTTTTGTTTTTTTTTTTAGTTTATGCAACAGATACGATTTGTCATTCCGATCGAGCTAGCCCATTCAAGCCGAAGCATGGGTAAACTACATTTAAAAATCTGTTACGGCAACTCACTCGTAACTCCTCTGGTGTCGCGTGTGTTCGTAGGCGGCACCGATTACCTAGCTTACCGTGGGTAAAAGTTCTTTTCGTTTATCACCCTATGTATAAATAACTATTTACTATGAAACTCAATCATACTCGTATCCCTTACAATTGTACATCGCATTAAGTTTAGTTCCAAAAAAAAAAAACTATAATTAAAATTCTCTCTTCAAATTTTTAATCTTACTCACAGATTAGCCCTTTTAACGTTCTAACCGGTACAAAGCGCCGACATTTTCTAAAATAATCCCGTGGAAGGATAGCTAACTAGACTATTCGTTCGAGCTGTCTGGCACAGGCGGTATGCAAATCCAGGCAATCTCATAACCACGACGACCATCGCCAGATTGCAGTCAGCATCACGCCATCTTCTTTTTCTTTATTCTAGAAAAAAAATCTGAAAATTCCTATATCGTCTGCATTCAGTTTTTTAGTAAGAAATGCTGAATAAAATGAAGAAAATGTTGAATAAATCAAGTCGAAATTATATTTGCATAGAACTTATAAAGTTGATCAAAAGATTTTTAAACTTTTGTGGGTAGTAATAGAGACATATTTTGTATACACTTACACTTAATAATTATTATAATACATTGATTCTTGTACAGTCAGGGGTCAAAAATGCAATTACACTCTACCAATTTTAAATCGACTAAAATTTATTTTTAGTAAAAGTTCAATGGTTTACAGCCAGTTTATTCAATAATTTAGATTCTATGCTATAAATTAAAGCAGTCCTCAACCATTGACTCTATTCTACAAAGATATTTTGGTCATTTTAAAATTGGTAGAGTGCAATTGCGATTTTGACCCCTGACTGTACAATATAAACATTTTTATAGAGGTCTCTGTGCGGACCTTTCAATGATCAATTTACTCTGGTTATTGAAATTAATATGATTATATACTCGTAATTTTATTTACTGAATAAGATTTTAAAATTCAGAAAAATACAGATCATAGTTGGAGACACGTCTGTAGTTTTAATGGTTCAATATTTTGATATTCATTTTATAACTATAGATGAAGGGATACTTACAAGGTATCGTTGAGGAGACGAAGGTCATGACTTGCAAAAACCCTTAGGTTTACATAGATACAGATATTAATATGATGGCAGAAAAGGGTTCTATGAAAACCCTGCATCTTAAACCTTGCTTGCTACCTCCTTTATTGATTAATTGTTATAGATACTGTCAAGCTTATAGCGTTATAACATAAGTTTCGTTTGCCTTATTTTTTTATACTTCATTTAAAGTTCAGAAGTGATATTTTATAGCTTATTTACAAAATAATTCTGTTGTACTAGTTGTAGGTATAACACTAAATGTTATTTCGTTATCAACTTTACGTATTAGCTCGTATTAGACAGTCTAGAATGATGATGTTTAGTAAAAAAAAAAGTAAGAATACATTAAGTTAAAAGAGCGATTTTAATGGCAAAATAAAAACTAACCAGTTTTAAATGAGCCCTCAATTTTGTCTAGGTCACTAGACAATCAATGACGATTATCTGGTCGAACGTCTTAACTTAATCCAGTTTAACGACACATAGTACATTAAAATTACTTTTTTTCGAGGTTATAAAATTGAAATAGAAAACATTATTTTTCATGCTGTTTGTTACTACATAATAATTGTTATATACTTATCACCTAGACGCACACCTTATTTAGCACTTGATCACGCAAAGATAACATAAATTAGCCTCGTGACAAACAGTTATTCAATATAAACCCAAAACGTGAAATAATACTCTTCTTCTGTTCAAAATTAATAATACTATTTTTTTTCTTAATAACCTTTTGAGACTGTGCAAACAACTTCATTACGTTCCATTTTTATTATCCCAAGAGCACTTCGTGAACTTTTAATAAAAGTTAGTACGTTGAAAGTAAAATTACTTATTAAAGAAGTATCAATATCTCAAAGTTACTATTAAGTTTTCTTGCACTAAGAACAAAAAAACAAAGTTTCGAACTAAAAAAAACACAGCTGTCCTTTCGATAATGTCATCAAAGAAAAAAAAATCTATAAAATATAATCACATCTTTATTACCCTTAACGACCTGTACACATTGTTAAAATATAAAATAAAATGTCTCGAATCAACTACACTACTATACTTTTTAAAAATCTCCACATTCCAATGAAATTCCTGCAGCCTTAAAAAATGCCAATCAGAGCATTGAACTAAAAATTAAAATTCCCTTCACTAATAGCGAACCAATCACGTTCGGTATGTGAAAAATCTGTGCAATCTACACGGTTTGCTTTTAGAACGCTCAGTACCCATGCATGTCGGCGGAGGATTCCAACTTAACGCCAGTCATCGGGTAACAGCCCTTCAATTTCACTTTCAATCCTCGATACTACTAAGGATTGTTTTCTCGAACTTACAAAGTCGAAAAAGATAGCTTAATAGATAAACGGAACCTTTATCAAACATTGTGAAAGGAGCTCTTAAGATGGAAACATAATTCAATAGTATTTGTTTTGTATACTAGCAATGAATACTTGTGACGAAATGTCGACTTGTTCTCATACTTTCATCGTCAGCCTATAAGTGCCCACTGCTGAGCAAAGGCCTCTTCTCACACGGAGAAGGTTTGAGCATTAATCACCACGCTTGCTCAATGCGGGTTGGCGATTTCAAACTTATAATTAGAAATTATAAGTCTAGGTTTCCTCACGATGCTTACCTTCACCGTATGTCAGTGGTGTCTAAATAATCATAGAAAGTACATATAACTCGGAAAAAGTCACATTGGTACTTGCCAGGTTTCGAACCCGCACCCTCATGCATGAGAAGCGGGTGCCTTAACCTCCGGGCCACCACGACTACTTCTCATACTCGTTCTCATACTTATCTCTCTTAAATTATTAAATACTCATCAAAACAGCTCGATTCTCCAAGAACTCGCCATGGGAGTCTATGTCGTATCATACAGTCACGCAACCTTACATTCTTTGGACACGTATCGAGAAAAAACAATTGAAGAATAGAGCAGCTTATTGTCCAGGATAAAGTGGATGGCACTCGATCGCGTCAGAGGTCACCCATGACATTGGGAACCAAATTAAGTCCGCCTTTAGTGGTTGGGTGAACGAATGCAGCCGTATGATTTCAATCAGTAATAGAAGGTCGATCACCATAAAGCCCATACTGGTGGCCTTCTCTTCCTCTACAACTACTTGACAACTATTACTACTCTGTCAAGAGTAAAGCACTTAAGTAAGAGTAATAAAGTTTCATGATTTTTACTACTACTACTTAAGACTCTTGCTTGGGGAATGTGCGAAGAAATTCTCCAAAATAAATGTTCTTTAGGTGTATTTTTCTTATTCTAAATCTAAACGCCTATTGTTTATATTCCACTATCCGCAGTACTCTAGAATCGTTAGAAGCAACCGATCGCTTGACTGCAGACGCTCGGAGAATTCGTATCAAACCAATTTGGTGCGCGCCGCAAATCGCTCAGTCACCGGCTCAATGAAATGCACTGTCTGTTTCAAAACTATTAGGAACATTAAAACGTTTAGAAGAAGGAGGAAGAAATGAAATTTGTGTTAACTGTGATTAAGAAAATAAAAGTTCAATTAATTTATTTATTTATTTATTTAATATCTTTATGCACAAAACAAATGTACAAAGGTGGGCTTAATGCCATGGGCATTCTCTGACAGCCAAACCTTTGGATGATGCAGAGATAAATATAAAGGTGCACAAAACAAGCATCATCAGAGATGTTATAAATACATATTATATACTGTAAATATACATACATATGCTTATATATATATACATACATACTATATATTACATATACAACAATAATATAATTACATATACTACTTAAAATTATACATATTTTGCTATTTGATGTCATGATCACGATACCTCTGCCAACCTCTTCAAAAGCAACTCCCGAACCTTTTGCTTGAACGCCCAACGATTCGACACCATCCTGACATCGAGGGGGAGCGCATTCCACAGAATAATAGATTGAATAAAAAAAGAAGAATGAAGAAATTTTGTGTGATGAGTTGGACATTGAAGAAGCCGGTTATTAGAAGAACGGAGATACTTGCTGTGGTTTGCGCATGTGTATTGGAAGTAAGGGGATAGATAAGTTGGCGAAGAAGGAGAATCAAGGAAAGAGAACAGAGTGGTTAGCGCCCTTTGCTCCCTGCGCTGGCGTATGGGCAACCACTTTAATTGCAGCCGATGTGCAGAAACATGATCATATTTACGCAGGTTGAAGACGAAACGAATGCAGTTATTCAGAAGTCGGTCAAGTTTATTGAGAAGATCTGCATTCAGGTCATAATAACACACATCAGCGTAATCAATTATGGGAAACAACAAGGCCTGCACCAGCATTGACTTGGTGATGGACGGGAGCAGGTTTTTGGCGCGATAAAGTGCCCGCAACGAACCGGTCACCTTATTGCACACACTGGTGACATGTGCATGCCAGTTTAAGTTACTATCAATAAGTAAGCCGAGATCTTTGACGTCACTACTATATGGAATGATTAATCTGAAATATTAACTACCTTTGTGAGTGTATACCTACTTTAGTTTACCAATCAAATCTAAGCATCTCAAGTCTAGGTATGTAAGCTTAAGTTAACATTTTAAATGAACAAAATTCCACTATGATTAAGTCGGTCCTTAATATAAAACACGTACCGTTAATCAACTTTAATGAATCTTTACTCAAAGCCTTTTAAAACTACGTTTGATCGAAATTCCAAATCCCTCTTCTCGGAATTTGAAGCTAAAAATCACGATGGATTAAAATTTTAAGCCTTAAAGCTGAGCTAAAAATGGAGTAGACAGATAATGTTTCACCGTCGATGCCTGCAGTTCGATCAGTATTCGCCCCTGCAATTGCCTGGAAAATCATATTAGGATCAAACTCAATTTAGTTCACCCCGCAAATCACGCACTCCACCCTCCCGTCGAAGCGCAGTGTCTGGCTGTTTTAACCATTTTACTGCATATACACTGGGCGTGGTTCCGATATCACATGACAGACCCGAAGCTGTAAACCACTGTCCATTTTGGACCCCACCTTAAGGACAATGAATACAGATGTGGAATTGATTGAATATGTAGTCAATTGCACGCAGGGTGAAATCTCTGTTTTCGACGCACAAACGTAAAATAATACCTATGTAATTTATGGAAACAAATCTATGATTGTATGATGAAAATTGTATAATTACGTCTTCCATGTTTTTGTTAGTTTTTGTCTTTCTTTGTGTAAATATAATTATACGATAACTTATTTTTTATTCAACTTAACACTAAATTCAATTTACACGTAAAACTGATGAAGGTGTAAAATTTTATCATCCACTTTTATATAAAATGCAAAGGAAAAAGAATGATGACGTTTTTATTTTAGAAAAATTTAAATTCTGATCAGAATTCACCTCCACAAAATGCCCCCACAAATTCGTTCCAAATTTAATTTGGAATGCGCTGAAAATCCCGCAGTCGCCGCCCATCCCTACTACATTATGTGACACTTTTGATCCTTTTACATATCGCATCGGATCATAGATTTAGATTGAAGGGTTCGTTCAGCTATTTTTGAACTACCACGATATTGAAGCTTGAAGCTAAAAGCATCGATTAATTTTTAATGGCCTCGTGTGTCATATTAGTGGACGTTTATTAATTTTGAGCAAATTTTTCTTAAGTTTATCATAGGTACAATATTTTTGTTTTGGATTTTAAACATAAACTTTTAATAGTAGGTATTGAGAATAATTATTGAGTTATGTTAAATAGTGATTAAGGAAGGGCTCAGGGGAGAGAACAGGTTTGTGTTTCCCAGGCCGCCTCGAACACAAACCTGTTGTTGTTTAACGCTGTTTGCCTGTTAGGACATGGTATCACTCTGGTCGTTTCGTGACGAAACATGACTCTCTCAAACTTAATCTTATTCTAATACAATTTATTTTACTTGATTTGGTGATTGTAATAAGAAGATTTAAAATTAGAAACAATAGCTGTAGATATAATATCTAATATATTCCTATTGTTTAAAAAAAACTAAAGCAAACTAAACTTGTCCAAAACCTATAAAACTCAGTGTTACAAAACTCACAAGCCCGGTCACAATGCCTTTTATTTTATTCATACTTGCACAGCATATTGCTGAACGAACCAACTGTGATTTTTCATTTTAATAGAATAGAAAAAAATAAATAAAAAAGTTCAGTATCAGAATATAAAACCCACTCTGTAGCTCTAAAAAGGGGACATCAATAAATAACCCTTTAATTGCTAAAGTTTACAGCTGTACAAATTGCGCGCCATTTTGTTAAAAAAAACGCAATAAAAACTTGAATAAAAACGTAATATTCCATAAAGTTTTGAACATTTTCAGTCACGGAATGTTCACGATGTTTATCTGTGAGTATTTACACAGACGGACGGACAAGATGTCATAAATATTTCACTAACTGATGCCTGCCGTGATACGAGGCTGTATAGCGGGGTTACGATGAAATATCATGAAGCTTGCTTTACTAAAGTTATTGTCAAGCATTCGTTAGCGATTGTTTTTATTAACAAAATTCAATATTTTATAAAATAATGAATCCAAGATTTGTTTTTTTTATAGATAGACACGTTTTTTAAGACTATTCGCTAATTCATTTTTATTTAATCCAATTTTTCACCTGACCTTTAAATCTTGAGCAGCGTTCATTTAAATTAATTCAATAATCCTCTTCATTTTCTCAGCACATTTTATTGTCACCCACAGGGCAAAATAGGGATTATCCTAATAAGTCGACGACCGGACTAAAGCTATTAAAACAAACAATGGAATATACTAATTTCTGCTGAGCTTGTCCTAAAAAGAACTTGGACGACATTATGCAAAGCGAACGGATTTAAGAATCAGCTGGCACGGACAGTGTTTATGCTAAATGGGCAAATTAATCTTGGCTGTGGCCGGATTTGTCGCATTGTAAATCTTGGACACCCTAACGACGCCGTCCATATGTTGGACTCGAATCGTAGTTTCGTGCACTGTAATCTGAAATCACTCAAGGCGAAATGACTAATTAATGGCACTGCAGTTTATGCAGATTTTTGGCCGTATTTTGTGGTTCTGCTGTCTTTGTTCTTATGTAAAATATTCGTAATCATTATGCGTTCGTTCAGTAGCAGCAATCAATATACTGTGTCCCCAACAATTCCGAAACAAAATGAAAACGGTAATAAACTCGAAAACCCGTATTGAAACTCACATTTTATTTCGGTATTTCGCCAATGCGGATTAAAAATCAACAGTCGCCGAATAGTGGGACCGTGCAATTAATCTTACCGGAGTTGTCCGAACGCTGTCCGCTGTCCGGGACTGTCCTGCGAAGGTCGTAAATCTTGGACACCCGCGTCCTGTCCGGTATCGCGCTGCGCATACAAATATTTCAGTTGGTGTATAATAGAAAATTCTTCGCGAGATGATTTTAATTAACTTGTCTTTGTTGAAATGCATGTTGTGTTAACTCATTATGTCTGTCGTATCATGCTTTGCAGCTTCGCGACTCAGATTTTCAGTGTCACGCTCTGGTTTCTCTGCCTCAGTTTTGTAGACGGCGGCGCTTGTTGTAAATTGTCGTTACTATGTATATGTACTTAGTAAGCCTTGCCATTTTTTATTGTTAGCGCTGGAATTTAATATCATGATTATTAAATATGAAGCTATTTAAATGTGGCAATTTAGTATTATCGTACTATAGAACGATTATATTATAAATCTAAAGAAGTTTGTTTGTTTGCTTGAACAGCCTATCTCTGGAACTGCTGGTTCGTTCTGAGCAATTTTTTGTGTTATATAGGACAATTATCGAGAAAGGCTATAAGCCTTATAATATATCTCGGCTATAGGGTATATAAAAAAATCACACCGCGACTATTAACTAGAATCTTGTTGCTAATATTTCCTGAGAAAAAGGATAATAAAGGTTACGCTCTTATGACGAATATTTTAATATTAAGGAGAAGCACGAGACTCCACAATTACGTTGAATTTTTAAATAAAATGAAATAAAACATTCGACGTATTTTTTGCGGGACTCGTCAGCTTATATTAATATTCATTTTTTATTTTTTAATCGTTCAGCTATATAAAACAGAACCGAACATATAATTAGTTTCGCAGTTGTGAAGACAAAGAATACTCGATCCAATCCTTTAGCAACAATACAATACCAGATGTGACCTCTTTCGAATATGGCTACAATGCGATTTTTGCAACGATATCGTAGTATGTCACTGTGCGAAATAATACAGAAGTACAAGTGAACATATCAAACAGATAAGATTGAAAAACTTACAACGCAAACATCAGAACAACATTGTTTTATTATGTCATTTATAGGTGAAATTTAATTTTATGTAGCGTGCTCCAATTCGCGTTAAGATCGAATTTCATAAAGTTTTATATTGTCTTTTACACTAATTGAATTAAACTAAATTTGACATTAAAAGCAAAAATGTTTTTTACATAACCAAACATTTTCTGCAGCCGTCATTTGTCTTTCAATCAATGGAATAAAAGCGAAAATCGGTTGAAAGAACAGTAAAAGGATTTTCTTCTTAATTTGGAACGAAGTGTAGATTTATTTGTTCTTCTGCAATAGTATGGGTCGGTTTATCATTATATTAGTGTAAGTTTAAAACATTTAGCACATTTGGTTTTAATTGTTTTTTTGGCGATCATCAATGGACTTTTGCACTTGGTGGGAAGAGAAGGAGTGTCAGACTCTTGCTGACTAAAAAGCACCTTATTTGTTCTCCTGCTTCAAGCTGGGGCCGCGATACATTATTGCGTTTGTTCCTGCAATGCCACAGCTGGACATTGGTGGTGTAATGGATTTATAAGCGCGAGACGGTACGTTCTGATAACTTATTTAGCTCAATCTGGACAAATAAAGCATTTTGGTTACTATGTAACCGGCTAAGGGCTGATTTTTCAATAGTCAGATATATGTTATCTGAGGAACAAAATTGTTGCTGTCACTGTCTTATACCAACATTCGGAAGCGACAGCATTACAATTATTTCCTAGATAACTTTTATCTTACCATTGAAAAATCAGCTCTAAGTACATAAGAACTATCATACCATGCGTATGACAACCAGAACCATGTTTAGGCCACTATCCCACTAGACGTTTTACTAGCGTTGACGTCAACGTCGCGATTGCGCAGCATCGACATCGCGCTGACGCGCCGTTGCGGCCTTAGTAAGAACTTCATCACGAAAATTACCACGAAAAAAAAGAAGACAGGACCTTCTGCAATACTTATTTAGCGTGAGTAATACAAAAGTGTAATGGAGGTAAATAATGACTGTTATATTTTAATATTAAGTGTTTTAACATCTCACCATTAGCGTTTACAGAATTGTGTTGGTATTAAAATTTTATTGTGAGTGTTTCGTTCCGATCTGTTTTCTTTAAAATACAATATTTTTTGCTAAGGTTTTTTTTCATGAGGGGAAAATCATCAAATGACTTCTCCCGCCCAGGGCCGGGCGGGAGGGAGTGTCAGACTCTTACTGACTAAAGACCCCCGTTCCTTCTTCTGCTCTGGGCCGAGGTCGTGGTGCCTCATTGCGCATACCCCCCAACCCCGGCTGTTTGCTAAGGGTTTGAATTTATAATGTTGCTTAGTCTGATAATTTGAAATTACTACATCGTTGTTCATGTAGGCAACTGCTAATTATGAGTTCCAAAAGTTCAAGTGTGGGAGAGCCAAGCTTTGACATGAATGGGTCGGCTCGACTGCATAGATACCACGGCCTAACAGAAAATCGGCGTGAAACAACCACACCGTTGTTTCACCGTGTGATTGAGGTTACTGGAGGCCCAATCCCTGCTCCTATCTCATCCCTTCCCAATCCTTAAATATCCGAAACCCTTAGCCTCAAACTCAATTGCTTACCATCAGGCAATCCATCCATTGTTGGGCGTCCTATAACTTAAAAAAGCGAATATCAAAATTTAATGTTTGTGTCATCGAAGTTTTTATACAGTAAATTGATATGAAAATCCAAACGCACTACCTATACGAATCAAGCTTATAATTACACTTGGAAAGATAACACAAATCCTTTATTTGCGAAACAAATCAAATTAGGTACAAAACACTATCTCAATCTTAAGCCCATTCAACAAACCTTACAACCCGAAACTTTCTCAATTTCTAAGTAATTTTCGAACCTATCTATTCCTATATAAACTTCGACAAAACAATACAAAGCGACCCATATATGGTACATAGAGAGCCTTATTTACGATATTGTCGCAGAGGTCGTTGCACCCATCCCGAACATAAACTTGAAGATGGTACGTAATTTTACATTCCCTTCCTTTTAGCTGAATGAAATCCGACGCATGGAATCGCGATGAGAACATGAAAACGTTATTAAGGCTACAGTCCTCAAGAAATGTTACTATTTTGTTGTAAAACTTATAGGTATGCATGTATTTTAGCTACAAATTTAAGTATTGGATACTGAAATTGAAGGAATTGTTATATTACTGATCTATTTAAGTATTTAAATATTTTTTCTCTAAAATTGTAGGTGGAATGTATATGGAACATGTTACGTTGTAAAACTTTTATTGTTGATTTTTCAACAGTCAGATAAATGTAATCTGAGGAATAAAATTATTGCTATCAATGCCTTTTACAAACATTCTGACTCGTTAAAATAACTTTTATCTAATCATTGAAAAATCAGCCCTAAGTATAGTAGAGAAGAAAAAAGTATAATAAAGTAAGTCTGATCAAAACTCTGCGCATGATTTCTTTTAAATAATTTCACCTATTAAATTATTAAAAGTAACTTTACGATGTATGATATTAACATACCTATGCCATAAGCTATTCAGGAAAATGCAGATTATTATACCCCCAATTTTATTACGACTGTGTAAATTAACAGCGTAGTTTTAAACAGTGATTTACGGAATGGAATTAAATAAATTACTTAGACAGACACAATTATACATTAAATCAGAAATCATAAAATCTAAACTAAAATATTTGCTCCGGAACTTTAAATCTCTCTAAACCCACTTATAAATCTATGCTAAGCCATTCATACGTCATCGTGACGCGAGGCTATTTGCCCAAGCGACGCCATTTTGTATGTGGACAGCCATTTTGTTGTTACGAAAAAATACATTTAAAACTAAAAGAAATTTATTTCATTGGCCGAGTTGTGCTATATCGCACTTATTTACTTTCAGTTGGCAAATGTTCGGTTAAAAGAAATAAAATAGTTTCTCTTGTAAAATAATTTGGAAATAGTGATCAAATGATCAATAATCTGACACTGAATCAATGGACATCGATGGTTATATAAACTGAATGAATAAAGTTTCAAAACTGTTGCGTTTGTTAAATAATGTTTATGAAGATTGTGAAGTGTAAGCATAAATGTCAATCAGTGCCAGATGCTAGACGCCAAAACAAAAACCGACCAAGAAGGTAGGTTGACTCAAGAAGTTCTGGATAATGGGAAAATCATTTATTCCTAATCATAAATAAGAACTTTGATATTTCAAAATCGAATAACTCAGTCAGTCTTCTCGTCAGTGAAGCTAGGTGTTATTGCAGCAACATAAATACCTATTTCATATTATTTCCAAGTTTAAATTGTCTAGCAGGTCGTCCAACGACAGGGAATTGTCTAATAAAGTCTAATAAATCCTATAATTATCCAATTAAAGTAATAAAAATTTTAGGAAATAGTGCATCCTATTTTGACATTTCCAATTTTTCACGTTAAATGAACAAGTACAATTGGGTAGTTTCCTAGGTCAAAAGTAAATTGATTCGATGTTTCAATACTATAAAATATGGAAAAATAACTATACTTTTATTCATCTATCGATCGATAGACCAAGTTTTAGATTTTTTTAGCTAATTATTATGAATGAAGTAAGCGATTTGACGCAAAAATGTTATGACGTCATAGCTCAGTTTTTTATACAAATTTCATAGAAAAGTATCGTTTTTGACGTTTGGATAAAAGTATTGAATTTAATAAGTTGGAAACTACCGTATTACACTCATAGATATTTTTTTGTTTAAAAGAAAGTACAAAACTGACTCTTAAGAAAACAAAACACAAATCTGAAACGGAGAACAAGAGAGGACTTTTAAACAGAAAATACCGTAGCATTAGCACTTTGAAGGCACGCCGTCGTTGAAGGCAGTCATGCGAACTAAGCCGGCACCTTCGTATATTGCCACAACAAAATCGTTATTCTGTCAACGGCTACCTGTGTAAACGTAATAAATTGAAATAAACCTACACGTTGCATTCCTAGAGAAGTTGAGACGCTTCGACGCGCCCCAACGAATAAATAACAAGTTTGCAATAAATTTGTATTAAATTTTTCAATTGATGTTTGATGTTTTTGAATTTAGAATTCGTAATAGCTGAGGGTAATATAATTTGGGATAAAATGCGAAAGGTAATTAATATTAGGAAAAGGATTATAAGGAAACAAATGAACTATTCGTTTGAAAACGCTCACATCTCGAGAATTTAAGTGACTATTCAGTTACTAACACTGGAACAGGAAAATTTATTATTCTTATAACAAATTACAAATAAGATTAGAATTAACTTATTTCTTGTGAGGGGAGAATCATCACCTGACTTCTCCCACCCAGGGTAACGAGAGATGAAGTGTCAGACTCTTACTGACTAAAAACCTCAACGTTATTTTGCTCACACATAACAAGGAAGAAATACACAAAAACCACACCATATTAATTCAAACAAAGATTGAAGACCCATATAACAAGAACCCAATTTTAATTCACATTTAAATATTAAACAGCAGTATTTATGTAAAACCACCAACATTACTGTTAATTAAATGAGTAAGTAGACCGTACACCGCATATCCGAAGTAGGTACGTAAAATGGACGAGATATTATTGTAAAAACATACGGATGACTCATTCAATTTATTATATTTATTAATAATGAATGAACAAAATATGCTTCCCGAATGATTAATTCAATGTATCAATTACCTACCGAATGTGATAATAATACGTTTAATGGTTTTGTAATTTGTGGTAGGGTTTTTTTGTTTTCTGTTGCTGACGACGAATTTTATTCTTGGACTCGCACGCCCAGGTCCTTGCGAGTCTGATGACTTTTGTTAATTCAAATCTATTTCATATTTTATACTGCCACGATCATTATCCTCGAACGCAGAAGGCAGCAGGGTATGCAGAAGTGCATTATTAATAGCTGCATATAATAGATGCATTGACTACATAGTTGGCGTAGTGGCTGCGCAACTGGCTGCTGTGCAATGTGTCACGGGTTCCATTCCCGCAACACTAGATGAGAGAAAGTGCGTATCAAATTTTGTAGGACATAAAGCCACTTAACTTTATCGGAAACTCATTATGATAATGGTGAAATCAAGTCTGTGACAATTTCAGTATCGATATTATGGAGATTTCTGAAGACCATCAGTCACCTTGTTAACAAATAAATTCTCGTACAGAATTCTTTCTGAAGCCATAACGATTATCGATACTGAGCTTGGCTGGGGGCAGGTGCTAACTGGTGAGTCAAGTGATTGCAAACCCGACAGCTGACAGGAAGACGACAACCGATTTAAGGATTGGAATTGTAAGGTGCTTTACAATTTATTTTAATAATTTACATAATTATATACTTTACAGCAATACTACTACTAAATACTGGCTGGTGATAAACCAGCCAGAAAGAGAGAGAGACACAGTATTTGTCATTAACGTTTAATTTAAGAGAAGAATACCATTTTTCTATCATTCATATTTTATCTCACCAATTAAATCAGAATTTTCAGAAAATTCTGTTAGTTATGTTTTACAATTTCATACTTCCAATAACTTTATACTGTGCCTTTGCTTGTGAATACATTTCTATTTTGCCTACTGAACTTATTGTGTGTTATAGTAGTGTGTAAGGGCTTGTGAACAATATATCCTTTTGATCGCAAGTTTGTTTATTTATTGGAACCTGACTACACATTACCATTATCATAGACTTACAACCTTGGGTTGGAATTGATTAAAATCATTGTTATATGCTATTAAAATATCCATAACCAAATTTTCTGAATCACAAAGCACCAGACTGCAATATTTGCAATAGTACAAGGACATGAATTATTAGAACAGGGCGTGTTACCACCTTTCTGTAGGAAACCCATAGAATATCATAACAAATGAGGTCAATGTCTGAACGTCGACCTCCATGTACTATTGGAATTTACGGTCTTTGCATAGAACCTGACGTGTAGGATTCTGATAATATTCGGAGGGTATTTGGTACTTGGTAGGTATTTTGGACTTGCCACCTTTTCATAATTGGAAATTTGCCACTATTTAGGATGTTTAACAGTAATCTAGTTAGTACCTAATGCAGACTAGAAACAACTGTGTAACATAATAATGAGTATATTTGCTGATATGACAGATCACAATAGGACTTATTATTCTTTGGACCAGCCCTTGTAGAAACCATGCTACGGAAACTGGAAAGCCGCCTGCTCTTTCTCATAAAGAAGGAGACAGAGGATATGAAGAAAATGTCCTCCATAAGATCACGCAACGATTTCCGGCCACCGCACGTACCGATCACAACAGATGGGGTCCAATAATACTGACATTTATCCAAGGTTGTGGGTCAAGCTCAATAATGTACCACAGCCTAGACCTGGATTTATAGAAGTAATGAATTGGTATTTCATCAGTAGGAGTCTGTCACTCTCTTTCGACACGCCTAGGTCAAGAAGTCATTTGATAATTTTGTCCACTCGAAATAAAAGCTACAAATTAAAAGTTTTCACAGAAACAATACTAATAACACAAGCCATGTTCGAACAATAAGTCCTAGGTAATCCAATTCCGCGGTACACCGTCGAGCATAGAACA